GACACATGTCCTCTAAGAACATACAGAAATTTATCTTAATTAAGAGCAGTTTTTAACAATAATAACCATTTATCAATTAAATTAAATCAGATAAATACTAAGAACATACCTTAAGAACTTGCATTGTACATGCTCTTAGTTGGATTCGGGTTTAGGTCGTTTGTCTTATTGCGACAAAACTTACCCAAGCACAAACAAAATGGTGATGAAGAGAAACATCAACAAACAGACCAAAAACTACAAATCATTTATTGGGATATGAGTATGAAGAAACTCATCTTTTTGTGTGTATCAAATTGTGGTTTCAATTGGTCACCTTTGAAACCCGTCTCATTTGAATGTTAAAGAGAATGATGACATTTTTTGTGATCAAACCAGTGGATGTGTTATGTTTATATTGCCATAAGGTTGCATTCTTAATTTATAATTACTAGAACATGAACCGCGCATTCGCGCGAGATTTTGTTATACAATTTAATAATTTTTTATTTTAGTATTTATGTTATGATAAAAAAAACAAAGTTTTTAGATATAAAATCATATTTGATTTGAAATCAAATAATTTTAATGCTGCATGAAAATATGGTAAATTACCATTTAAAATTTATTTGTTTAAAACTTTGTTATTTACATATATATGACCATTAGATAAATCATGTTATTTACATATCTAAATAACTGATTACGAATTTGATAATAAAAAATTTATCAATCATTTTTTAATTTATCTTTATAGTATGATTTATCAATCATAGGTGGTTTCCATATGTCTTCACAATGTCTATTTGTTATTCTCTTATACTTCGCACTTCACCATATTTTAGTATTGTGGCATATAGAAGATACTAAACAACATATTGTTTGCTTATTGTTTACAATCTTTTCAATCGCGGAATGAGAAAACTTATCTCTTCATCATTAAGGTGTAAGTTTTCTTCTTCAAGTTTGATTTAGGTTTTTGCTAGCCAGAGTTGGAGAACCTCGTAAATCTTATTGAAATTTCTTTTTAATGGATATAAATAGTTTTATGCCTTTTTTTGTTCAATTATCTTAGTCTCGTAANCTTATGTATATTTTGGTTTTTGTTCATCGTAAAAAAATAAGTGAGATTTTAGGATACTATTTCTTAAACGTTAGTCTTCCTAACGTGTAATTGAATGTAAGATTTTNTTTTTATTGAACTACAAACTTTTTAATAAGAAAAAGCATTTCATATTTC